AATAGCTGATGTGGGGAGGAGTTATTTCAAAAATATTTCTTATGCAAAGTATGGTATATTTGTGGTCCCAATAAGTAAGAGAAATAATTAAAATATAGTGAATTAAATGGTGGGTGCATAAAAAACTGAGAAATAACTCAAAATTGATGTGGAGAAGGGTTTTTTGTAATTGAATGAGATTATAGAGGATGAGGTGGATGCTGGGATCCACAAATAACTGAGAAATAACCTCAACTGATAAGGATGCTCTAAAGCTACTATAGGCTGGCTAGTTGATGGCAGTGTTATCATTAGAGCCACAGTAGTGGATAATATGGGGATAATATAAGAAGAAATAATTTGGATGGGGTTATTAATTGATGTGGGGTGGGGTTAATGATAGAATTATTTATCCTGCAAATACAAAAATATTTCTGTTCCCAATGCAAGTCCTAAATCAGACAACATAGGCTGCTGTGCGCGTTTTGCGCACAGCAGCCATTCCACACGGGCGCGTCAAGCGCGCCTGACCTTTTTATTTTTTTATTTTTTATTTTATCTTTTTAATTTTAAAAAAAAATCAGTTTTGTTATTTTTTTTATTTTTTTTCCCCTTCCCACCTTCTCTCTCATAATCACTCTTACATTATCCCCCAAATCTCCCCAACTAATGTGGATGCTCTTATGGTTAGGTTTTAGAGCAACCACATCAATGCATAATATGGGGATAATGTAAGTTGAATTCTCTCATGTTGAAAATAATAACTAATGTGGAGATGAAATAATACCAAAATAATCATCCTGCAAAAGGTGGGAGAATGGAAGAATAAGAAAAAAAAAAAAAAAAAAAAAGGTAAAGCAACGCACGGACTGCGCGTTTCGCGCAGTCCATGAGGAAGGCCGGGCGTGTGCACTGCACGCGCCCGGTGGCGCGTCAGGCGCGCCAGTCGGCACGCCTAACGCGTCTGATTACATTATTATTATTATTATTATTTTTTGTTTTTTTTTCTCTCCCTTCCCACCTTCTCTTTCCTAAGAGCATCTACATCAGTGGATATTAGGGAGATAATGTCAGATGAATTATTTTGGGTGGGGATAATAACAAATGTGGGGTGGGGTTATTTGTTGAAATATTTATCCTGCAAGTTCAAACATAATGTCAAAAAAAAAAAAATGGAAAGTAATGCAGCCAACGCACGGACTGCGCGTCTCGCGCAGTCCAAGAGGAAAGCCGGGCGCGTGCACTGCACGCGCCCGGTGGCGCGTCAGGCGCGCCTGACGCGTCAGATTACTTTTTTTTTTTTTAATTTTATTTTAATTTTTTTTTTGTTTTTTTTTTCTCTCCCCTCCACATTATCTTTCCTAATCACTCTTACATTATCCCCACATTCTCCCCAACCAATGTGGATGCTCTAATCACTCTTACATTCTCCCTCAATTATCCTCAACCATTGTAGCAGCAGAAGAAGGTTGATTAGTGACTTGTACTTTACTTTGGTACTACAGTTAATTTCCATTTTAAGGATACTCTCTCTTTTGCAAATTCAACCTAAGATTTAGTCAGAAAGAAATGAAAGTACTGGCCTAGTTCATATTAGTGCTTTGCATGTCTTTATTTTATAATAAATTGTTTAGATTTTTTGTTTTTGTATTTTTAAATTTTTTAATTTATTATCATTATTTGATTATACATAACTGGCCTGGTTCATATTAGTGCTTTGCATGTCTTTATTTTATAATAAATTGTTTAGATTTTTTGTTTTTGTATTTTTAAATTTTTTAATTTATTATCATTATTTGGTTATACATAACCAAACAACAATATTAATAATCATTCTAATTTCATTCACTACTAAACATATAAAATACTTTCACCAAAATCACTACTAGTCTAAGAGCATCCTCAATAATTTTTGAGGAGTTTTTGCACATCTAATTAGAAAAGAGGAGATGGGAGGATGAGAAAAAAGGGGAAAAAAAAGAAGCAAGTCTAACAAAAAAAAAAAAGGAAAAAGAGAAGATGGGCGTGTAAGGTGCCCTGAACGCGCTAACAAACCTCTACTATTTCTTCACACGAGTCTCACATGTTTAGTACAAAAACTTCTTTTCCTGCAAAGACCCAAAAACTTTCCTCCCTTACATATAAGTTTTGTTTTTTCTCAAAAACCACACCAAGATACATTGATGGAGATAAAAATCGGTTGCTGTCTAATTTGCCGCCAACGACATCACCACAAATTAACCCCTTTGCGGGCTGCGGCTGTACTATTGTCCATTGGACGTGAAGACTCTAAAGCTAGGTTGGCTAGTTGATAGCAGTGTTATCATTATGGTTAGGTTTTAGTAGCTGCAGAAGATAGGTAATTGGTGCTGTTTGAGTATAGGCATGGCCGCATGGGTGTTTTCTGCAATTCTACAGCCACTCGCCGGCCATGAAATCCAAAATGAAGCTTTCCAAGCTAAAAGTAGGCATGGGGGTGTTGCGAGAATCGAACTCACGACCTCTCGCACCCGAAGCGAGAATCATACCACTAGACCAAACACCCGGACGTTTTATAATGCGATATTTTCTTTATTTTACTTGTGGCATGCGAAGAATTGCCATAGATAAATCGAGTGTATGTAGAATAGAGTAGCAACAACTCAACAATGGGAACCGTAACGTTATCAGCTTCGCCTTCTTCAGCTCCGTTGATGATATTCCGCCGCCTCCTCCGGTCCGCCACCCCTCTCCTCTCTTTCTCCCTCCGCCCAAAACAGCCCGTCTACTTTTACCCCCAGACGCCGCCGCTTTTCACCCCTGCCCGCCCCCATTTCTTATATCAAACTCACCATCTCTCTTCAAACCACCCACTTCAAGCCCTTGTACAATTTCAAGACGACGTTGTTGAAGGAACTGACGAAGATACCGATGTTGATGAAATTGAGGAACTTGAACCCGAAGCAGTAGCGGTTACAGTTACCACAGAGTCTTCCGAAGCTCAGAGGCTGCATTCGAAGCTTCAGAGACTCACAGTGAAGGAGAAGAAAGAGTTAGGTTCTTATGCGCACAGTTTGGGGAAGAAGCTCAAGTCCCAACAGGTCGGCAAGTCTGGAATCACTGATACTGTCATCCTCGCATTGGGTGAAACCCTTGAAAAAAATGAGCTTTTGAAGG